AGATTGCGGGAAGGCCGGCGACGCTTATTGTTGAAGGTTTGGATGTCGAGTTTGTGTGATCATAATTTCGAGCACCTGAGCTCATCATCAACCAAATTTCCTCAGTCGCGAAACTGTATTTCAGAAAAGGCAAGACAGCTGCCACAAAAGGACAAGACCCGACACCGTGGATACAAGAAGCATTTGAGCGCTTGAACAGGTGTGATGATTTTGATTTTGGTCTTCTGTCATTCAATTGCTAAGATGGCGAACTCAACTCAGCACACGAAGCGATGCACACTCGTCATATTCATCGGAAGCTATGGACTTGTTGACGGACATGTTTCAATACCTCGAAAACATTCGTAAGCCTTTCATGATCGATATGCAACCGGCTGGAATGTTGCTAAGTAGTCAAATATAGGCTCACCATTGGACAACATGTTCGTTATTCGCGGACTGGCCTTACTGGAAACCGCTGAAACGTTCAGCAAACCAGCCTTACACCTCGCTGTGCTGGACTTTCTGCTCAAAGTCACACCGGAAAGGTTGGGAGACACATTGAAGACCCCGCTATGAATCCTTGTTGACATCTTTGCTTATCAATTGCGTGTAGGGCCTGGCACTATGTGCAAACAAACCGTACCACCTTTGCCAGAAATCTCACATGGTTGAACCATGTCAAGGCTCGTTTTCCCATTTTGAAGAAAGCATGCTATGGCCAAGACGAGAGCATCGACTCCAAGCTCGACTTTCTAGCATTCGAGCTTATGGTTGAATGTGATATTGCGCATGCAACACTGGCGCAAAGGTAGATGTACTTGACAAGGTTACATAATGGATAGTGACTGACGCTGGAAACATTGTCGTTCTTAAGTCAAGAGAGTCAAACGGCAATATCTGACTTTGAACGCGCGGTGGAGGATTCAGATTACTTGCTGCCGTTTGGTGATGACAAAGTGGCGGCTGCTTTGCGATGGAGTCAAATTCGGCAGGTCAGTGCTCTCATTGCCTCGATCCCGCGGCATCGATCTGATGGCAAATATCAGGAATACGTGGCGCATGTGCAAACATTGAAAGCTCTGTTGGAGCTCAAGAGGATCGGCCGACAGGGCTTCGATCCAAAAACATCAGGCTCCCACATTCACGCCGCTTTCCAATATCTCTTCGTTTCGTTATCATGTAAGAGTTACCATGCATAGTTCCCGTACCATGCCTTACGTATCTCATTCAATCTCTGACAGACAAACCGAAAACAATAACTCATAATCTACAGTCCTCCGCCTCGGATCGCATCAGCCTCACCGCGCACATATTGCTGCCGTTCCTAGTCTGCTTTGACCTCCAATGGCTCCTGTCACGATATCGATCGTCGGAATCTGTTTTTGCCCAGGCTACATCAACAGCGGAGGAAGCTGCGGTATTGCCGTCGTGGAAGAGTTTGCACTTGACGGTGGATTTCAGGACGGAGATGGATGGCGGCAATGTGAAGCTTGCGATGGGGTTGTTGGAGTTCATTCGAATTGGAGGGTTATGGAAGGCGGATGAGAGGTGTTTGGCGAGGAATCCGTGGGATTTGGAAAGGTGGGTTTTTTCTTGATAGGGTGGTGTATGCGTGAGTTGTTTGACTGATGATGATGTGTAGGATGTTGATGGCGGCGACATGGCATTTGCAAAGCGGGGAGTTGAGAAACCTGTTGAGGAGTGTGTTTCCAAGGTTGCCAGAAAAGCCACCGGTAAGGTGTTGTGTGAATGTCAATGGCGGTTTATGGACGCATGGCTAATTTGCGGCGACAGCTCCGTGGCACGCCAAGATCCAGCCGCCGCCCGCTGCCGACCATCGCGGATATGGAAGCGTTCCTTCTGATCTTGCTCATTCAGCGTCATGTTTCACTGTGCGGAACGGAGGGAGCTACGTCGGTTGGGCAGGTGCTGTTCTTTTCGGCGCTGAGGGAGTGGAGGCCTCATGAGAGGCAAGTGGCGTTTTGGGGGAAGGCATTGAAAGTTTACGGAAAGGTATGAATCGGCATTTGCGTTGGGCTCTGCTGGAGGGGGTCGCAATTGAGACATGTCCTCACCACATAGTGTCCTCTTTAGACCGACCACACCCACCCACATCTCCTCACTGCGCCTCTGACAGACCGCGAATTCAACCACGTCCTTCGGGAGATCCGGGGGTCCGTCCAGCTTCCTAAGGAGGCTTTGACTCGCGAGGAACGTATCGAATTGGATAGCGCGAAGAGGATGGTGTACGGTCTTGTGGGCTTGCAGTATGAGAAGATGGTCCGAGAGGGAACGGATTGCATTGGAGAGGCGCAGAGTTATTTGGGGGTTTGGAGTCGATGGGAGGAGGAACGGGAGGAGAGGTGGGATGTTGGGGGGAGGGAGAGGAGTGGGATTTTGTTTGGGGATGGGGATGCGGGTGTGACTGATGGGTATGTGTTTCAACCGTTTTCAATCATCTTGTGCGGCGGGTTGCGGACATCGGAAACTGAGAACTTTGATCCTCACTTGTAGGTCGATGTTCGGCGTCACGGAAGAGAAAGTCGAGGCTGCCCTGACGCGGGTAACAGAGTCGGTCAACGACCGTTTCCCGTCCTTACCGGAAATGAACGAACCCACAACGCCTGGCACGCCCGCCGGACCGAAGTCTCCCTCCCCAAACACGCCTATGCCCACCTCACGACGGTCTAAATCGCCGTCCCCCGGCCCGATGGGTTACACGACGCCAGGACACAGGTCGCCGTTCAAAACGCCCGGATCGGTGTACAGGACGCCTATGAGTAAGACTCCGAAAATGGCTACTCCCAGCGGTAGGGACGCGTTGTCAGAAGTTCCGGAGGGTGGGCAAGGGGCCGGAGAGGCGGTGAAGGGGTTGACGCCTGGGTTGACGCCGAGGCAGAAGAGGTTGATGAAGCAGTTGGGTGACCTCAATGATACTCCGGATTATAGAAACTGTGAGTGTTCTGTTTTGCTGCATCCATGTACTGAGCGGTTCGTCCCCGCTCTTTATTTCCAATTCTGACTTGGGTTGACGAAACACAGTGTTCACGCACTTCACCCCTGGAACGTCCATGTTCCCTCGGACGGAGCCGCCGCCGAGGCCACAGCCAGTGACGGTGGCCGTGACGCCGTTCAGGGAGTCGGTGATGAGCTCGGATGGGGAGGAGGGATCGAGGCAATCCGCTATGGTGGAGAAAGGGAAGCAACCAGCTCTTTCATCATCATTCTTGCCAACACCACCTGAGCCCAGCGGGGTTTTAAATACCTCACGGGAGGATGGGGAGACGTCTCCTGATCAGCATGCCAAGGAGAACGGTGGACACACAGCGGCGGCGGCGGGGCCTATGACACCGAGGTTGCAGCGGCAGCTTGGGAAGTTGGGGGCGTTGAATGAACAGAAGGGTGTGATGATGGGCGGGCAGGGGTTGCCGCAGCATTTTACGCCGAAGAGGGGGGAGGGGGAGAATGAGTTGGATTTTTCGAAGCAGGGGTTGGCGAATTTGAGGATGAGGGGGTTGGTTAGGGGGTCTAGGTATGGGATGTGAGTTGGGGCTTAGCGGAAGACAAGGGAAGTTGTATATAGAGTATGCGTAGGGTGTAGGCGGAGGTTGAGGGGGTCTGTAAGTAGGTGCAGGTTGCGATGGATGTATATATGATTTGGAGAATGCAGATGCTTGCGATGTAATCTTTGATTTGTGCTGCCGTCTTCAAATCTTACAGGCCCATTCAATGGAACCTTCCAGTACCTGTGCGACCCGTGTAGGCGCATCTGGTTTTTTTTATGCGAATCATGCGGGTGTTTTCGCACGCGTCGGAGGAATCGCAGTTTGCTTCTCCATTGGATCTATTGGAATAACTGAACTTTGAGTCACCCCCACCTTCAGAAGTAAGGACTTCTCCATGTTCAATTTTTTTTTCTCAAACTACGTTCCTACTTCCGGGCCCATTTTTGACATTTCAGGTTGACGGGTGCATCTCGATGGTCCGATAACTTATATACGGCATCTCTGTCTCTGATGCCCTTAACAGAAGATGGAATATTTTGTATAGGTGCAATGTCGCACCAAGCGACCAGCCTTTGCTGGTGGGGTCGCTTATCCCCCATGATGGCTCATTCTTTCTGGCTGTTCTGTCAAATCGTCTTTTCAGTGAGCAATGTATGATCGGCAGTACTTGTAGCGAGTGCAACTGATTGTACGAATGGGCCGAACTGACCCTGAATCAAATGCATCAAATCGTCTGACATATGCTGTTGTGGACATAGGTGACAATGCGGGTCACTGGTCTGAGTATGAACCGGCAAAGCTCATTACAGGGCATCTTGGGTTCCTTTTTTCAAGCCTGTGCAAGTCCAAATTTCTGCTTAATCGCTTGAGGAAATCAAGATTTGAACGCTTTGTGTTCAGAGCTGGGGATGTGGCAATATATCAGCCGCTGCGCTCTCTCCTTAATATTCAGCATCCGATTGTCAAAGGTTGTCGTACAAAAAAGACAGACATCTCGTTGGGAATTGTGGGTGCTGGTTGTGCATGAGCGAGGTTTGCGGTATTCGAAGCTCATTGATGATCATGAACTGACATGCCTTTCATAGGATGTCAGATTTGGTCAAGTGGGAGCGGAGTAAGAGGAAGACTTTGCTTGTAGGCCTACAGCAACAGTACAGCATCATTGGGCTGAAGGCTTTGATCCTCGGGTGAAGCCAATCAGTCTGACTTACGTTTCACTCCATCTTTTTCATGCATCGCCTAGCCAGCGTGCAGTCAGTGAACATGGATTAATTGGACGTTGACCGCCATCAAAGATAGAACAAAGTCTGTGGTGAAATAAGTGATGCGATCACTGATAAACGCACCCCATCGTTGCACATCGGGCCTCGCTGGTCAGGTATTTTTCGCGCTGAGATGCACATAAATGTGAAGAACACTTAAATCCTATCTATTGTGAATGACGATGTAAGCGCATCGTCCACAATGCTCTTCGTCGTTGAGATAAAAAACACACTGACGACAAGAACGATAGCTTCCTTAGCTCAGCTGGGAGAGCGTCAGACTGAAGTTACGCATGCGTACATAGTTATCTGAAGGTCTCGTGTTCAATCCACGAAGGGAGCACTTTTTTTTGCAATTTTTTGCTGTCCCAACTGAGTTATTGTTTTTATCCATGGAAGCAGTTTAGTATCGGCCGTTCCATCCTTCATCCAAAACATAGAGAAGATCCGATGCAACAAATGTGCAAAACAGCATTGCTAGCTATAACATTACTCCATCGGTTTCCGACAACATAACGTACACGATATTCCAATAACCATGAGCAATGATAGAATAACGGCCCAACCTTACTCAGTACAACCGACCGTTACCACCGCCTGATGGAAGGCCGTCCTTCGTTCCTCCATTTTGCCTCACTTTCCAATCTTATGATGCGCTGTAAGTTGCAGTCGCCCCGCCTTCCCTCCCGCCCTCAGTCGCCTCCGTCCCTCAATTCTCTTTGCTCTCTTTTAACGCCCCCAATGCATTCAGGACAGTTCTCTCATCTATGGCTGCCCCAACCTGCTACAATGCCCTGACGACAACCTTCATTACGTTTATCATCCCAGCTTTAAGGCAGTTTGTAATGGTCCGAGTGACGAGACCCTCATCGGCAATGTCGAGACCATGACGGGCAAGGGCCGCCAGAATGCCGGGAAATTCCCTAATTATCAATTGCTCATTACTCGGTTGCGCTCCGAATCCCAACAGGCCGGTTTCCAAGATCCTTACCAAAGAGGTAA